CTTGCTCCAAAATGCTGTGTAGACATACCAGCTGTTTCTGGGGAAGATACCTTTCATAGGCTTTCTTTACAGTTGTTGTCTTTCGACCTCTCTCACCCCATGCAGTTTAAGTAGGATCATAGGAAGTTAGTGCTCACTGAATCAGTGTTAATGTACTCCAGATTTCATTTACAATTTGAGTATAGGATGATGCCAGAGATTGGCTGTCCTTTGAACTCCCAACAAATTCCTATCCCTTCAAACCAGTCAGATGGCCTATGTGCCAAGGGAGATGATAAAGCTTTATTGCTATAAGAAGTGGTACAAGCATTGCCAAAGTTGAGAAATTTCAGGTCCCCTCCTGTGTGTCAGGCAGATATAACCTACCCCCAAGATAGAGAAACAAACTCCAAAGAGAATGTGTAGCTGTTGGCTTCTGATTGAATTACTATATGTAGAGTGTCACTATCATTGCTGTTTCTGAGGATCAGACATAGTATTTATGCTGAGACTTATGGCCCTTAATAGCTTAAAGAAATTATTTTCTACCACCTTATAACTTGGGATACTGGAGTAAGAGCCAAAAATCTTTTGTTGCACCCTGAAAGTGCTCAGCACACAAGCTGTTTATATTGCCTGCATCAGAAGCTTAAGTTACGGTGCATAAAATTTCATCCTTGTACAGTGTTTAGTGTAAACAGTGGAGATACTTGTATGAGGGACCGAGGAAACAGTAGTAATACTAATCTTAATGCTTGTTTTTGCTGGAAACAGTAGTAATACTAATCGTAATGCTTGTTTTCGCTAGAAATCCAGTTGCATTTAGAAAAGTATCAGAACTGTACTCTCTTCAGAACACTGGAAATTGTTACAACTTTCCAACATGCAGTAGTGTGTGTTTGAGGAAATGGGATAACTGTCCCAATTAAGTATTTGCCTTTTTTTTTTTTTTTTAAGTCTATAGTGATTGTTCTGAAATGTCAAGTGAGAGGTTGGAAACAGTATGCAGTTGATAGTATATTGTCAAATCCATTTCTGCATAACTATTTTCTGACCTAGAATATGTGCATAGATAAATGAGAACTGGAAAAGATTTAGACCAGGACCATGTTCAAGAAATTATGAAAGATGACCTTGAGTGGTCTTGTTTAATGCTAAACATACAGGACTAATGACATTCCTGAACAGTGAACTGAAAGAAAATTCATTTTTATAAAACTTGGCTTTGAGTTCCTTGTGTTCTCAAATACATAATCTTTATCCTAATACTTAGGAAGTGCAGAAGCTGAATGGACAACTAGAAGAAAAAGACAGAGATATACAGCAAATAATAAGCCAGCCACAGTATGAAAAAGAGAGAGAAATCTTACAACTCCAGAGAAACTTGGCAGAGAAAGAGAAAGTCCAGGCCACAAATGAAGTACTGTGTCGTTCACTCACAGATGAAACTCACCAACTTCAACGTAAATTGGCATCCACAGCAGAAATGTGTCAGCACCTGGCAAAATGTCTAGAAGAAAACAAGACAAAAGATGGAGGCAACTTAAAGGAGCCTATTCCAATCAAAAGAGCCAATCAGGTACACATACATTTTCTGTTAATGTGATTAATTTGGATGAAGATATTACATTGTAAGCAACAATTAATAGCTCTGAGTTATTTTTCACTTCCCCAATCACTTCAGCAACACTGAAGAGGAAAAGAGGATAACGTTTTGTAAGAAGATTCTCCTTAACTGTTGGTATTTGTTTGAGAGATGGAAGCGGTTTTTGATAATTTCTATCCAAATGTCATGTAGATTGCCTTCCCTCATCTCTCTCTAGTAATTAGAGCCTCTTTTGGTAGGAGTTGCTGTAAGCATCCTGTTCCAAAGCATGACTATTAAATGCTTACACACTTAATGTATTCTGCAAACCAGTGGAGGATAGAGTGGAATGCTAGAGGGTGCTAGGCTGTTGGAGGTGATGTCGCTTGGACAGGAGACAAATGAGGCCCTTGGGCTATATCTATGCAATTAGGCACCTGCAGATGGACCATGACTACTGACTGAGGTTCATGGGGTGAAAGCTAAAGGGCTGTTTAATTGTGTGTGCTGGAGCTCTGAAATTCTTCCAGCTCACAGGATCCTAGAGCTCAAGCCCAAACATTTATTCAATGCTGTGAGCCTGAGTCCCCTGCCACTAGTCAGCTGCAGGTGTCTAACTGCAGGGTCGATATATCCTTGGTCAGCAAAAATCAAATTGGCTAAAATATAAGATTTGAAAAGAATTTGCATTTTTTTCTGATTCCTCGAGCTTTGGTGTTTGTGACCATTGCTCTTGTTGTCAGGTTGTGGAGAAGGATTTCTCTCGTGGGGAAGGACTAAAAGACTGGCCTGGGAAACAGATTCAATTCCTTGCTCTATCAGACATTGGTGGGCTTGTGAACAAATTATTTCATTTCTGTGACTGTTTTCCATTTTAAATGAAGAAAATATCACTTCTCTGCCACAAAGCCATATTCAGGTAAAGTCCTTAGCATTTGTGAGGTACTTAGATACTATAGTGATGATAGCTAAGAAATGCATAACAAGAATCCCCACCTTGCTGATAGCCATCTGACTTCAGTTTCATTGAAAATCTTGGGAGATGGCAGTGTTACAAAATTTTAGCTTTATTTAAGAAAAATCCTACTGTTCTAGAAATGAGGAACTTATTAAAAAGATCAGGTGATTCATGACAGTATCATGAGTTGGCAACTTTTGATAAATGGGGTATTAAACCAGATTCTGACCACATTCTCTCAAAGTTTTGTTCATCACAATTCTTGCAGTTTAAAGCAGATGGAAGTAGTATTCACTTGTCCTAAGCTGCTGTTACTGTATCTTTTAAAAGAGCCACCATGTTTCAGTGATCCCTGTAGAGAGTGTAAATTTGTGAAGTGCATTGGGAGCCTTTGGGATGAAAAATGCTTTAGTAATATAAATTATTCTTGTGAATAGACAGGGTGAGTTGGATGGAAAGAAATGCAGATTGTTTAATGGGGCTTGAAGTTTGCAGCCATGTGATGTTTTACATGTATCTGAAATGTTCATCTCTAATTAGTAAGTTTTCAGTCTAACAGTTAGCTTACCTTGTATAGTGGGGACTTCCCTGTCAAAGAGAAATTCTGATGTGATTCCTAGTTCATTCTAGGGAAATTTTTTTATAAAAATGCTTTTACTCATGTACTTAGGGTTTTTTTAAAACAATGACATTTCTTAGTCAAAAGGATGTAAGTCAATCAATTTAATCGAGCTTTTATCAAGCAGCTTTATTTTTGTTGGCATATGCCTAAAATATATGCAGTAGCAGCAAGCACAGAGTGAGTTTTTTGTTGTTTTTCAGGCTTCCTTACTATAAAGCACATTACATTCCTTAGCTTTTTTGAAGCAAACAGCTGATCTTAGTGAGCTAATCTAAAAACATAATTGAATAGCATAGGAAAGAAAAATGGAGAGGATATTTGTTCTAGTTTAAAAATGAAACTGAATGTCTTCCAGTTTTTTTAATCAAAGTAACACTTTGTTTGACAGCTACAATTTTCAGAGAATAAAACTTCACTCCAAACAATCATTTGCCAACTACAGGAGGAAAATAGGAAGTTAAAACAAAAAGTGTTTCATGTAAGTACATTTTTAGCTTGTACAATAAGATTTGATATGCATTTTTCAACTACAGTAAATTTCCATTAATAAACCCTCATTTAACTTAACTCAAATGGGACCTTTATGCAAACCCTTGATAGTCACAATAAAAAAATAGTTTGTAATCTTTGTTCCCTTGGAAAATCTTCAGTACATAGCCTAGCTGCCCCATCAACACAAAGAAATTGAGTCAGTATGTAGCATGTTTAAGAACTCTGCCCTAACACATTACCATCACTCACCTCAATCCTTCTGTGAAAGCTTTTGCATGCAACACTTCATTTTAAGGTGTGTATTTTCACATTGTGACTTCCCTGGTGTTATCTTAGGTGGAAGACTTAAATACAAAATGGCAGGCATATGATGCTAGTAGAGAGGAGTATGTGAAACGGCTTCATCTTCAGCTAAAAGAACCGAAGTCTCAACCTGAACAACAGCAAGCCATTACACCACTGCAAAGAAATTCAGATCTAATGCAGAAGGAAATTTCTCGGTTGAACAAATTACTGGAAGACAAAATGAATGAATGCATTAAAGTAAAGCGAGAGCTAGAGGATGTGAAGAAGGCTAGAGCTGGAGATAGTGAACGTATGCAAATGCTGGAGCAACAGGTCATTAAATCTATTCTTTGATCAGATTTGCTTGATTTAGGAATTAAGATTCTCAGAGCTGGAAAAATAAACTCACTGAATTCTTAATTTTAAACAGCTGATTTTTCTGAGTTAGCACTCTACAAAGTGTAGAGGTGGCAACAGCACAAGTGGGTGCGCACAGAAGTTTAAGCAAAATGCAATCCTCAAGGAATTCTGTTACAGCTTTATTCTTCTCCAGTACAAAATATCAGTACTTATGTAAATTATATGATTATTAAGTGCAGACATAGTGTAGAGAAAACCCCTGCATTCGGAGCTAATTTTTCTGGAGTATTAATTCAAAATATTGGATCTGAGAATCTATAATTCCTTTACTAGATAAAATGTTTGCTAATTTGCCAGTCTCAGTAAATGGCTAAAATTTTTAATTGATTAAATTTCAGGTCCTTGTTTACAAGGATGATTTCACATCTGAAAGAGCAGATCGAGAGCGTGCACAAAGTAAAATACAGGAACTTCAGGCAGAAGTTGCTTGTCTACAACACCAACTAACCAGGAGACAGGTAAAGACATCTAGAAGGGCAAGATGTTAAATTGTCATTAATAGAAAAGCTGAAAATCAGATTCACCCAGGGAAACAAGAATAAAAACTAAAACATGCCAATAAATCATGGACTGTTTGTTCAAAATATCTTGCATTCAGAGGTGTTAGGGACTTTAACAGCTTTATCTTACGTTTCAGAATTTGTTAGAGAATTAGGAGTTGAATCTTCTCCAATTGATGCAATATGTCCAACAAATCCCTGTTTCCCTTCTGTGTTGAATCAGAACAATTGGAAATATTTCTTCTCATAGATTTATACATTGTACCAGTTCAGTACAAATAGGGAATAGGTGGAACTCGCTTTTTAATTTATTGTTGCACATGTGATACTGGATTATCCATCCCTTATTTTATGCAGGGCTTATGACTGTTTGGAACTTAATCAAAATTTAGTTCAAAATTGGATCTTTCTGATGCTGATATTTTATTTTTCTATTTCCTAGGAAACAAGAGATGCAGCTTGTCATGTTAGAGTTCACACTGGGAACCAAAATCTTATGTATGTACAGACAAATGTTGAACATTTCCTGGGCAACAGCCAAGTCTCCTCAGGCAGAAGGAGAACTGGTTCACAATCTGAACAAGCTGCTACACCCACGGACAGTCGGGGATCAGGATCAGAGAGAAGAGGACAGGGTGAACTTCAGTGCCCTCATTGCATGAGGTTCTTCAATGACGAACTCAGTGATGAATTTCTTAAACATGTTGCTGAATGTTGTCAATAAACTAACCCGAAAAGTGCAATGAAATCAAATCAACCACTACATGATACTGAGAAAATGGCACTTTGAGATGTATACTACAATATCAATTAATATTGGTTATATTTTTAATATTTATCATCCAGTTTGGATGTTTGACTGAATAAGCATAAATTTAGTGCATAGTTTCAGCATTGAATCTGAGGACAGGTTAGTGAAAGAAGTTTGCAGGTTACTAACCTACAATAAAGGGGGAAAAACAAAGTAATGCATTTGAAATGGCCACAATATTAGCAACCAGCAGGATGAAAAATATCTACCTCTTAATTCATTCCACCAGCTGCTGGACTTCACAAGAGACTTCATGATAAATCAAGCCACTTTGCAAAGAATGGAAATATACACACATTTGTTGTGTTAATTGTAACATGCAAAAACCTGCTACACGGCAGAAGTGCTGAAGTACACAGAAGTTGGTGTCAGAGCCCAGACTGACTTCCAAACAAGTGTGTGACTTTGTACTTATGGCAATCTGAATATTTATAGAAGTTAGTGACAGCATCTTAACTGGATTTGAAATCTGTATACCTTTTCAAAGAGATAGCCATATAAGGGGGGGAAAAAGAAATAGGGCAAATTTCATTGTCTAATATCTGGCATACAGTTGACTTAGAGGCATCTCATTTGGAACTAAATTGAGTCAGACATTGATACGACAGCATGAAACTAGTGATCTGTTTGAGAGTTTTTATAAGCACTTGTATTGAATGTAAGGAAAATATTTAGGGACCAGTTATTCTGATCTAAACCCCTCTGTTTGCACTAAAACATACTGCCCAGGGATTATTTATTTTGTCTGTGCTAAAGTGACTGTACATATGTGAATACAGATTGTATACAAATATTTTATAATTGTTTAAAGGTATTTTTGTAATAAAAGAGGTGGTAAAGCTGCTTTGACTTGGTAAAATATTTCAGTGAAAAATTCAATGGGAAATTAGTCTAAATGCAACTCAATTTACTTAATTTCCAGCTGGCAGTTAGTTTTAAGAGCTGCTACGTTACTTTGGAAATAAGCTGTTGTCACATGAAATAGACTCCTGATCTCTCTCAACTTTCAAACACTTATGGCTACATCTACACTGGCATGATTTTGCGCAAGAACTCTTTTGCGGAAGAGTTCTTGTGCAAAAACTCTTCCAGAAGAGAGCGTCTACACTGGCATGTGCCTTTGCGCAAGAGATGTGCTTTTCCGCAAGAGCATCCATGCCAGTGTAGACGTTCTCTTGCGCAAGAAAGCGCCGATGGCCATTTTAGCCATCGGGCTCCCACACACAAAAAATTCACGTTGCCTGTCTACCCACCCTCTTGCGCAAGAATAGTTGCGCAAGAGGGCTTATTCCTGAGCAGGAGCATCATAGTTCTTGCACAAGGAGCACTGATTTCACACATTAGAAGGTCAGTGTTCTTGTGCAAGAACTCCCTGCCAGTGTAGACAGGCAGCATGTTTTTGCACAAAGTCATGCCAATGTAGACACAGCCCTGATGTTTGTCTTTCTTGTTTAATGTCTTGATCTGCCAATGCTACATGATTATTTCCCTTCATGTAACTGAACATAACAGTGCTGTAGGACAAATTGTATGTCTCTCATTTAGTCTCCAACAAACCTTTGGAGGAGAAAAAAGTGTGCAGCAATCATCAGCTCAGGAAGAGCTGAACACATGCCAGGGAATTATCAAAAGAACATGCACAAGAATTATTCTAAAACACCCACATCTGATTTTTACAATCTAGAACACAAGCTGTTTTAGAAAATCCACACTTTTAACCTTCATTACCATGGAGTTGTGGTGGAAACCCTCTAGACTGCTTTTCATGGTGGGGTTTGTCCGCTTGCACAGTTGTCGGGCCCAGCCTGACATTCTGGATCCTCCACTACAGGATCTCTCACCAAGACATGGCAGAAGAATGGTCCTGCCCGTGGGTGACTTTCTTCCAACTGATCTGCAGATAACACTAGATCTCTCAACAGGCTGTGTGACACTGGTAATAGTGAGATTTTAGGGGCTGAAACTGGCAGGGCGACACTGGATCCTTTCACTCCTATTACACAGATCCGAGAGTTATGATAAGCACCACTTCCTTGTCACCATGACAGAGAAATCATAACATGCCACAAACTTCCATGTCTTAATTATACTTATAACTCTCAGTATTGCATCTCATTCCCCAGTGCAGCCTGTGCCCTCCCCATAACATCCAAATAACTGGACGAACCCACCATTCTCTTGCAACATGTGGATGACTAGCAGCGGACTCATGTTCAACCTAGGAATGACAGGGAATTAGACCTTTTAGTAACCTCATCAACAACAAAGGGTGTCTGTCAGGCCACAAAGCAACATGATGGATGATGCCCTCACTACCAGTCCTAAAAAGCACAATCCCAGAGGCAACTCTTTGCACCATTTAGTTATTTGCAATCGTCACTAAGCTTAAAAAGCTTTTCAGTTCTCCTTTTATTTGTATGTATAAGTAACTCCCCCACCTCCTCCAATGATTTGGGAAAAGAACTTGCTTTCTAAATGGTACCAAAAAATTCAGAGTTGTCTGTAAGAAGAATAAAACTTGCTACAAGAATAGGAGTTGTGAGTCAAGAGACATCAGTTACTTATGCTTTATGGTACTTTTTTTGTGAAAAACTTCCACTTCCTGTGGTTTCTATAAATCTGTTTTTAAAAAAAAAAGGCAAGGGAAATTCCAAGTAACCTGCCACAGTGTTGCACTCATACCAGCAAGGGTTCTCATTTCAGAAAGGGGAAGTAACAAATCCTTCTCTGTAAAATCAACAATTTAATGTGAGAATTCAAAGTACTGGTGGAATGTGTAGAAAATTAATAGGGGTTTGGGATAGTGGTAAGGGGTCAGCCACAGCATTGCTCTTTAAGCATATTTTTCCCCTTTGTCCTTTGAAGTACTGAGGAAAATAGTAGCACTACACACTCTTTATTTTGTCCTCACACTTGCTCTGTAAAAACACTTTCAAAGTCAGGGCTCTTTTCTCCCTCTATAAACTAATTAAAATAATTTAACTAAAAACCAATAAACAACAAAAATATAATTTTATTCATAATTTTACATAAAATTAACTACTAAATACTAAATTTTAAAAAACATTAACTTAATATACCAAAATACATAAAACATAACTAATTCCAAATTGACACTCAAACCATTAAATATCCCAAATAGACATGCATAAACAATAAAGCAATTCATTATCTCATCCATTCCTAAGTTGCCTATTTTTTCTCTAACAATTATCTCTATAGCACTATTTCCTGTTGCCATGTTGCTATGATAATTTGCCTCGTCTTGTTTTTTTACATCTTTGTAATGGGTGACCTAACTACAGAGTATTAGATTAAGTAGACACTACATTGTTATCCTTCAAATCCCACCCTCTCTTTCATGATGCTTTCAAATCACTTTTAGGTAAGCTGGTGTTTATAATGGTCTCACCACTACTTTGTGCTTTCCCCCTTTTGCTTGGTGTGTCCACCTGTTGCCTTTATGTCATACTTAGACAGTAAGCTCCTTGGGCAGGAACCATCTTTTCATTATGTATGCACATTGTCTAGCACAATGAGTCTCCTTGGGGACTTTGGGCTTTATCATGACACTAATCATAAATATCATGAAAGTGACTGAAGTGCATGTGGGGTTTTGATTAGAGATCATCTGAATTGTATTTCCAGTTCTTACTAGGAAAAGGAAGATTAAGACAAGAACATGAATTATTGTATTTTTAAAACATAGATTGAATCAATACAAAAGAAAGAGGGTGGATGGCTGGTCTCTTTAAATACAACATTTTCTTCCTTGCTCCGGTAGATCAGTAGGTGTGTCCCTAGATGAAGTATGTTTGGAGAAGATTTGTTTAATGCTGGGCATACTTTACAGCAGTTCTCCAGGGGGCGATGTTCCTTGATTATTATGCTAACAAGGCTGCAGCTAGGAAGTAGATATATATGTACTGAACATGCATTCCAACAATCTTAGTGCGACAAACACAGAGAGATAATACAGAAGCACCAAAGCAGATGTCTGAAATTTGTCTGATGCTTTGCATTTCAGTGGCTATGGAACATATCGAAGTTGGAAGTTTAGCATCAAATGCTAGAGCATATGGTCTTGTTTTATATTTGCCAGACTTTTTAACATGTAATTTATAGAAGTATTGATCTGTGGTGGCGGGGAAGGTAAGTTTTAAAAACATAACTTTCATTGTAACTATATGATATCATGACTGATTCCCCCCCACAATAAATTACTCTAAGACATTCTTATATTTAAAAAGAAACACGCCGAATTTCCAGTATTGATCTAGCTAGAGATATTCTTAGTCATGTGAGAGGATGGGGAGATCTGTTATTCTTTACAGTAGAACTAAATACAAGGTCAGTAGACAGGGACCCAGTGAAATCATGCTAATAGCACACTGATGCTGAAAGTATGTTGAAATAAGCCAGGAAAAAGTTACAGCTAGAGAACCACTCTAGCCACTTTTCTAGTGTTAACTTGAGCATTCAATTAGAAAAAAACCCCAACAACCTAAGAGAATAGCTCCCATTATGGACTAATGTCCTGTAAGCCGTTCTTAATTTTGAATCATAGAATAATAGGCTAGGCTGAGGAGCATCCGAATCCATGAGCAATTCCTGGACAGTATTCATGTGGAGACAGCTGAGGTAGCTGTCCCACTAAACAAAACTGCTGACACTCCACTGGTGGTGGAGAAGATGGCTCAGGGGGGACACTGGCAGCTGGTCACTTCTGGCAGTGGGCAGTGCTCCACCCTTGGTCCCAACCCTCCCACTGTGGTACTGGGAAACTATTATGCTCTTCTTGATACAGGAGATAAGGATTCACTCACTACAGCAGAGGAGATGGAGCCTAATACCCCCAAGACTGGGAGCTCTGCTGCCACCACTACAAGGAGGGTAGGGTAGTGGTGGTCAGAGACTCTCTTCTGAGGGGGATGGAGGCACCCATCTGTCACCCTGACATGTCATCTTGGGAGGTATGCTGCCTGCTAGGAGCCCGTATCCGAGACATTATGGAAGCATTGTCGAGGATTATCTGGCCCTCTGACTACTACCCCATGCTACTCATCCATGTGGGCACTAATGATACTGCAAGGTGTTACACTAAGTAGATCCAGAGTGACTAGAGGGCTCTGGGGCTATGTCTATACTACACATTTTTGCGGCAGAAAATATGCTAAGGAGGGACTCATTAGCATAAGTCGCGCTCTAGTATATTTTCTGCCATTTCTTTTTGCGCAAGGGGTTTTTTCTCAGAGGCATAAGGATCTTGCACAAAGCAGCTACACTACTTCTTTTTGCACAAAAACACCTTGCGCAAAAAGAAATGGCAGAAAATATGCTAATGAGATTGCAGCTTATGCTGATGAGTCCCCCATTAGCATATTTTCTGCCACAAAAACATGTAGTGTAGACAAAGCCTGGTAGTATGGGTGAAGGAATCTGGAGTGCAGGTGGTATTCTCCTCAGTCCTTCCTGTCAAAGGTAGGGGCCCAGGCAGAAACAGGCGCATCCTGGAGGTGAATGCCTGGAGGACTTTGGCTTACTTGACCCCGGGATGCAGGAGGACTGCTAAGCAGGGATAGGGTTCACCTTTCAAGGAAGGGGAAGACCATATTTGGATGCAGATTGGTTAACCTATTGAGGAGGGCTTTAAACTAGCTTTGACTGGGGCAGATCACCAAAGCCCACAGGTAAGTAAAGAACATGGAGACCTGGGAGATGGGTCAGAAATGGGAGGGAGCGTGGGCTATAATAGCAGAGAAAAAGGAGGGACAAGGCAGAACTGGGAGGCAAGGTCAGATCAGCATTTTAGATGCCTGTATATAAATGCAAGTAGTA